GGCAAGGGGAGCGCTTGCCCCCCGCCCCCCCCCCCCCATAGTTCTCAGAGTGGGGGGGGGGGGGGCAAGGCATGGTGTTTTTTTCCCCCTCCCCTCCCACCCTGAAACAGCCGCCACTGGGCAGGGCAAACACTGGCCGGCGGCACCCAGGAATACCAAGGACACCACCCCCCGACCCGCGGAGGCATATTTTTAACGCGCAGGCGATACAAACCCTGGCAACGGCGCTCACGCCGGATTAACTGATTCGTGAAGATCGATCGATTTTTTTTTTTTAGATCGAATAAACGTTGAGTTTAACGGGATTAGCCAGCTCATCCTCAACCTCGCTCACTCTTCTATAGTCTGACAGTATTACGCCTAAACAACAAAAACTTACTCTGCCATATTTCAGTGATTTGTTCCAGCTTTTGTTTCAACAGAGCTTAGATCAAGAATTTTTACTTAAAGTCTGGAAACACGCAAAAGTTATTCCGGTCTTTAGGTCTGGAGACGTTTCGCTCGCTAATAACTACTGTCCGATTTCTCTAACAAGCATACCCTGCAAACTTCTGGAACATGTGATCTACACCTACCTCGCTAATTACCTTTTAGATTCTAACTCTTTTTTTTTCCCGTACAAGCACGGTTTCCAAAAAGAACGATCTTCCGAAACTCAACTATTTGAATTCATTACCGATATACATAAGAACATTCACTCACGGGTGAAGACGGACGCTATTTTCGTCGATTTCACAAAGGCGTTTGACCGAGTTTTGCACCAGCGCCTATTACAAAAATTGAAACTTTAAATATTCACCAGTCTCGTGGTAACTGGAACAGGGAATTTCTCTACCTTAGAACTTAATCCGTTTCAGTATGTAACGTCTCTTCTCGCGTTTCAGTAAAATGTGGAGTTCCTCAGGGATCGGTCCTTGGTCCGCTGCTTTTCTTAGTTTATGTAAATGATCTTCCCAACTCCATTTGTTCAAAAGTCAGACTTATTGCGGATGATTGCGTAATATATAGGCGTATCGTCTCAACAGACGACAGCCTCACCCTGCAGCGTGATCTAGATTGTCTATCATCATGGTGTGAGAAATGGCAAATGACCATCAATATCTCGAAAACTAAATTTCTTACTTTTTCTACAAAAAAAGCGACGATTACCAACAACTACGAAATAAGCGGGTATAGTCTTGAAAAAGGTTACAAATTATAAATACCTCGGTGTAACACAGCCCACTGTTCGCAGCCCACTGTCGTCAAACGGGCAGAGTCACGAGAGCTTGCCAGAATGCATGGGATGCAGCTGGCATCCTCGACATAATGTGATACATGTTTTCCCCTTCTTTTCTTTCCCTTTTACACACTTTCTGTAGTGTGTATATTCTGTACAGATATATATCGGTTTTGTTTTTTTCACATGAGGCGGCGGGCTGGCAGGGACTCTGCGTAAGGGTTTTCAGGCTATCTGCCTAGCTCCGCACACCATATGTGCCCCTTCCAGTATGTGCAAATAAAATTATTATTATTATTATTATTATTATTATTATTATTATAACAATCCTATTTTCGGCTCACAAGTAGTTTGTGCCAAAACAGAACAATATTGCTTTTTAGTTCCCGTTATTTCGCGATTTTCCATGCGTCTGCATAAAACTAAACACAGCACTATCATGCTCGACGTTGCACATCCGACATTCCTAACTCTCCCCATCTTCCTAAACGTCCGTGTGTGTCCTAACACCAGAAACTGAAATTTGAAAGGTTAAAAACGGCACGTTGCGAATATAGAACCCATACTTTCATGCAAAGCTAACGTCAAGTGACTCAAACCGGAAGACATGCATATTTACAATAATATTATTATCTCTTATGGAGAAGGCTCAGCAACCGTTGCATTCGTTTTCGCGTACGAAACGGCGACTCCCAGAGAAAGTAAGAACGCAGTGATTGCCTTTATTTTAACAATGTAAACACACTTGCAGGCGTGCGTTGATGAAGTCTCAAAATCAAAACACTCGTAGCGTGATTCGTGACTGCGCCCGTTACTACCCAACCTCCGGTTGTCACGCCAGTTTCTGGAAGCAGACACTAAAATTGCAAGTAAACACACAAAAGTGACACCGATACAATTATCTTGCAGTATATCACCTTATTTAGTAATAACTGTGTCGGTAGGCACTACATGTTGTATTTAAGCTAAGAAAAAAAACTTTTTGTGAGAAAAAAAAAACAACTAAATCTTAGCGGTAAGTTTGGTAACAGTGTATGTTGCCGAATCTTTAGAAAAGTTCGGCAAAAGTGAGACTCCGCCGAATCCCAAGATTCGGCACAGAATTTTCGATTTGGCAAAAGTACGGCCAATTACTAGTAAAAATATGCGACCCGGGGGGGGGGGGGAGGGGGGGAGGAGAGTTGGTCTGCCCCCCCCCCCCCCCCCCCCCCACTCAAAAACAAGTTGGTACGCCACTGCTTGTATGCTTTGTTCTCCCCTAAGTTGACAGTGCGATGGAAGCAGCATGCTCGTTTCAGCAGTCGGGCTTCGATCTTTCGCCGCTTGATCACTCCCCCACCAATACCCACTCACAGAGAGCAAAGCCAGGTGATGAAAGGGTGCGGTTCACTGGTGCGACGAGCACCGCACTGTTAGCTTAGGGGTGTACAAAATATTGTCGGTAACGGCAAAAAATGGAGCAAAGCACCTTACAATGCGCAGATATAGCCGCTGGCTCGTTCAGGAGACGCCTGCCACCCCCTCTAGTGCCGTTTCTCCACAGAAAACATGCCGCCCCCTTGCGTGACAACGCGCGATAGTTCGCGCTCTTCTGGTGTTATGGAACAATACTCCTCGAGGAGAATGTTCGGGAATGCGTCGATCAGTCAGAAGATACAAGTTTTAGGCATTTCCTCAACCGCCTGCAAAATGAATTCGGGAACGATGGATCCCGTTCGCCAAACGCCACTCAAGTTTAGCACATCTCGCAACGGACGTTACGACTTCATGTAAAAACGAGCTGCAATGGCCCGAGCAACCGAAGCGGACAACTTATCCAAAATCAGGAGGACGGAACACATCAGCCATTATCCGATATCAGCTTCACCGTGAATGAACAGCGAAACCGTTGAGCTGTCTCTTTTAGTCATATTTTAAGAAGCTCTACATTATGTCTAACACTTCCATCGTCACGGGCATGAATAACTGCCTGGAAAAAATTGGAACGTAATTTCAAAGTAATTTTATGACTTTTCAAAAGTACTTTTAACGTAATGCAATTACTTTTTGTCTGCGCTAATTTGTAATGTAATTAGATTAGTTTGCGTATTTCTGAGGAAAGTAATGAGTGATGTAATTTAATTATTTTTGAAAAGTAATTTTGCCATCTCTGGACTAGTCCTTAATATCCGACGTCGGATCGGACACTTTTGACGCGCACCAGTCTCGCGCTAAGCGCGCTGCAGAGGCCCGTTACGCCAATCATGATTGGCGGTGTCCACGTGCACGTGGACACTGCCGGGCGTCGAGAGGAGACCCACGCTGCTCACGTCACCTGTTGCGCTTGCCCGGAGAAGCAAAAACCAACAAAAAGTAGCAACGTTGATGACGTTTAGCTCAATTTTGGCTAGGCCGACACAGTAGCCTTGTCTACGCGGTTGATAACGCCTCAATGCGCCCGCTAGAGTCGGCTGATTTCGGCAACTTGGCGCGTTCCAATGTTTGCCGAACCAAACTAGACAGAACTAGGTCGCAATATTTGACGTTTGGTCTTCCTAGGGGAAGCTTAATAGGACTGCATTGTTGTTGTTGTTTTTCTTTTTTTTTCAAAAACAAAAATCAAGGGGAGTCGCCCTACGCCCTCAGCACAGCCGCCAGGTGTCGCCATGTAGAAAGCATGAAGCAAAAGCTGGGAAACGGCCGATGTTTCGTCATTAACGGTCTCTGATTTTTATTTTTCGAAGTCAGCATTGTAGTACCTTTACAAGCGTCGTACAAAAAAAGTATTTCATAAATGACAATAATAATGATGACAGACATGCAACTTGCGACACCTCTTGGCGTTATCAAAAATGCTTTCGCCAATTACTTCACCAGAAAAAGAAGCGATGAGGAGCTCGAATTTGCGAGAGGAGGACACAAATTTTGACGAGCTCTTTCGCGCGCCAAATTATTTTTTTCGCGATAAATTTATTTGGTGTGTGCGTGTGTGTGTGTTTTACCACGCGCTTTCGAAGCGTTTGAGACGGTAAAAAAAAAAATAGCGACCTTGGAGTTGTCAGTGGCCCTTTAAAGGGGCCATGAAGCGATATCGGGTTGGAATGTTCATGTCTTTGCAGAGGCGTACTGGTCCTATAGTCTGGCCCGAGTATACTCGCTCAGATCGACGCTGATTTAGAAGCTTCTTTGTCGCGGTGAAATCGCGAGGATAAAAGGGGACTATTTGTTCCAGTCTTGCCTTCACAAAGCTTGATGACGTAATTCTGGGATCGAAATCACCGTGAATCATCGAAATCACAGTCGATCGCGGCTCTTGGATTGGACACGAGAACTTCGTGAGCCCTCGACTTCGGTTCGTAACAATGAATGCCTCGGTGGACACTCGGAGTGGCTCTTGTCCAACCACTGCTGTGATGAGAATAGCCGAACAATGCCTGGAGCTCAGCACGCGCTTTCTACTTCGCCAACCCCAGCGCGTGGCTATGATTAACGTTGGCGTCATTTATAGGATAGGCACCAGGCCACGTGGCCGCTTGTCCTGGCTCCAAGTTGACGAAATGAACGATGCCCATATTTCTCGAATTTATTTGCCGACGGCCCTCGCTTAGAAAGAAAACTGAGGCGTTTATTCGGTTATTAAGCGTAGGGAGTGATTCTGAGTAGTATTTAGCGAAATTACAAAAAAAAAAAAATAATTTCGTAAGCTCATTAAGAAATCTTAGTAAACAAGCTGTTTAATCTCAAAACAGACTGTGCGTATTTCGCTCTCCTAACTCAAAACTCTATTCTTGTTACATCCCAGCCAGAAAATTTGCTAGTGGAAGAATGCAGTGAAGTACTCAAGCTAATCGACTTTGGTGATGCTCGAAGGGTCTTGGCTGCTCCATGCAAGGTGGCTTTGGTTGGGAACCCTGAATTTTCCGCTCCTGAGATCATAAAACAAGGGTCAGTCACTACAAGGGCCGACCTCTGGTAAGTCCTGAGTCATAGAGGGACTCTTTACGCAAATCACACATTTCATGGTGAAGCTATTGTTCGCTGTTATTTTTACTAATATGTGGAGTGTCATAAAAAACCGTGACGCACTTAACGTCGTTTTAGAATCTGCTGATTTAGTTATTCTCACAGAACCGTGGCTCTCTCCTAAAATACGTGACAGCGATTTTTTTTGCGTGTGGTAAGCGTTTCAATGTGTATCGCTATGATGGGGAATTCAGATCCGGTGGAGGTGCGTTAATTGCTGTATCTGAGAACATGGCATCTTTCTGTGTGAACATTTCAACTAATCTTGAGTTCCTTTGTGTATGCGTTAGTGCAAGCTATAAACGTATAGTTTTTTTTTGTGTGTGTGTGTTTGTAATAGACCGCCCAATTATTCTGCTACCTTCCCCAATGAGCTACGCGACGTTCTTAATTTGATGTTAACCAGGCTTCCGTTTTTGTCTTCGGAGATTTTAACTATCCTAGCATTGTGTGGACTGGTGTGTGTCCCTCTGTTGCCCCCAATCGATTATTTTGATTTCAACCTAATCAATTGGGTTAGGTTGATTTCAACCTAACTCAGCTTGTCACAAAGCCAACGCGTGTTACAACCACAACTGCCAGTTTGCTTGACCTAGTGTTAACTCCCTCACCCGATCTTGTTTGTGAAATTTCTCGTCTTCCTGAGCCCAGAGATCATTGTACGTTACACATCACCTTAAATTTACCTGTAGTTACTCCCTCGAAAGGATCAAATTCATTCGTGATCATAAGAAAGTGGATTTTGACGCCATTAACAATGAACTCGCTCTCTTTATAGATGGCTGCATCAACTCTTTCACAACGATCAGTTAAAAAAATGGAACCTTTTAAAAAGTATTTTAAATCACTCGGGGATACATACATTCCACTTCGATCGATAGCGTCCTACACTCATTCCTTTTGGTTCGACGTCTAACTCAAGCGGCTTTCCGATGAATAATAATAAAAAAAACGTTTGTTTAGGGCCGCTATAAGTCCTCTAATAAACCAGATCGCTGGTCAGCCCATCACGACGCTCTTCTGGAGTACAAATTTGCTATACAAAGCGCCAAACGTGCTTTCTTTAATATCACTTTGCCGACATCATTATCCACTAGTCCAGTGGTTCTCAAATGGGGGTCCGCGAAGCACTGCCTCATTACTTTAGCCCGGCAATAAAAGTTGTCTTACCTCAGATCGAGAAGAAATATGTGTGTGTGTGTGTGTGTGTGTGTGTGTGTGTGTGTGTGTGTGTGTGTGTGTGTGTGTGTGTGTGTGTGTGTGTGTGTGTGTGTGTGGGTGTGGGTGCGGGTGTGTGTGTGGGGGGGGGGGGTCTTTATTTTAGACGAAAGAGAAGTCTGGGGGCTGGAATAAAAGAAGACAAACTTGTCTTCTGACGGGACCCCAGCCCTAGTTTTTTTACAGCACTCGGCACAAAACAAAAAAACTGAGATGAATTATATTGCCAACGGGCACATGTAGAAAATATAAATGAATGCAACTCAAAAGCCGGGATACGAACTGCAGATAATGAGAGACTTAAAATATATGCTACAAGGTTATCTTTGAATGTCCGAAAGGAACCATTGTTTTGCACCATTTGAGCTATGGTGGGGTGTGTATTCAGTGTGTCTGGAATTATATATGAAAGTTGCTGGAAGCCATAATTTGTACGAGCTTTGGTTTTTACAAAACGACTACATCGTAGGCTGTAGTTTCCAGGTTTTTTTTTTTTTTTTTTGGATACGTGGTATAAAATAGTAATTGATTCTGTCTGATCTTCTTAAAAATATTGATTGATATATTTAGGGTCATAATTTGCTCTACAGTCAATATCTTATACTCCTGAAAAAGTGGCCATTGAGTGATCATATTTCTGAAGGTTTCCAAATAAATCGAACGACCTTTTTTCAATATTAGTAATTTGCTGATATTTGTTTTTGTAGTTGTACCCCATAATAATATACAATATTGCACTCGTGAATAAATAAGTGTATAGTGTAGTTGTAACTTTAACCATTTAGGTAAATATTTCCGGAGTTTATTTAATGACCCTATTGCTCTTGATATACAGATTCTCATTTTCTAAATATGGGGAGTCCAACTGAGGGTTTCTTCAGGCAAGACACCTAAAATTTGTTTGTTCTAACGCGCTCAATTTTTAATCCTTCAAAACAAATATTTAAGTTGTAGAAAACTGGTTTATTGTTTGATCTAAAAATAATATATATTGTTTTACCAGCGTTTAGAAGCAATGGATTACATTTTAATCACACAGACAAATTTTCTAGCCAGTTATTGGAGACTTGTTCGAGGCGAAGCAGGTCTCTGCTTGAAAAAAAGACGTTCGAATCATCAGCATATAAAATAATATCGCGTAATTGAGGTACATGCAGTCACAATGTCCTTTATATATAAAATAAATAATAAAGGCCCAAGAATAGAGCCTTGTGGAACACCGAATCTAATGGGTGCCAACTCTGACTTAAAACCATGTAATGTTGTATACTGAAATCGGGAAGATAAATAACTACGAATTATTTCCAGCGCATTCCCTCTGATTCCAAATGACTCCAATTTTTGTAATAGAATTGGGTGCCTAATTGAATCAAACGCCTTCTTAAAATCTAAGAAGATTCCAATTGTATAATCATTGTTTTCTATATTTGAAATTATTTTGCCTTTAATCTGTATCAGGGCAGATTCAGTTGATTTTTCCTTCTGAAAACCAAACTGGTGATCAGTTATCAGTTTATTGCTCGCACAGTCGTTATACAATCTTGAGTTAATAACTTTTCCCGTAACTTTTGAAAAAAGAGGGAATACAGATATAGGTCTAGATAATGCAGACTTTTGCAATTTTCATTTTATCTGGAAAAGTACCCGAAACAATAATCTGATTTTAGATATAAATTAAAGGGAGTAACACTAAGTCTATTATAACCTTAATTGGGATAACCTGATTACCATCATCACCGCACGCTCAACTATTTTTAAACGACATTATTATGCTACGTATTTCTCATTCATCAGTGGGACGAAGAAAAATTGACTTTGTCATATGCGGCTGGTCGGTGCAATGATAATTCGAAAATTCTTCCGGCAATTCGCTGGCACTAGACGACAAGAAATATTCATTAAACTTGTTCGCCAACAAGCTCCCGGCGTATGTGTAACCGTCAATTTCCAACTCATCTGGTGTAGCAACATGAATTATTGACATTATTTTGTCCATAGCGTTCCAAATTTTAGTAGGGTTCCTATAAATTTCTGAAAATTTATGTTGATAAAATGTTATTTTTGCTTTTTTTAATATCCAGTGCAAGTTTGTTCCTATATTTTTTATAGTCGCTTTGTGAACTCTTATCCTTAGTTTTGATAAATTTGGCAAACATTTTATCGCGCGCTGCTATCCGTTTGTAGAGTTCGCGTGTAACCCAAGGCTTTCTTGATTTTTTGCGTTTTCTTCCTTCAAGTAATGGAAAGGCTTTATCGTAGTACTCTTGTAATTTTGTTATGAAAGAATCGTAGGCTTTCCCTGGATTTGGTTCATTTAATATGTCATTCCATGTTTCTAACGAGACGAGGCTGTAGAAGCTTTCTAAAGTATTTTTATTTATATTCCTACAAAATACTCCATTATTGGTGGTGGAGCAATTATGTTGTGAATTTTTTTTTTTTTAAGAAAACAAAAGATGGGCAAATAGTCACTCAGATCTGCAGTTAGTACTCCAGCGAAAACATCTGAGCTTTGACAGTTTGTGATGCAGATATCGATCAAGGTTTCCGTACATTCGGTTATACGAATTGGGAGATTGATAATATTCTCGCATCCATTTAATTGAACAATTTCTTAAAAAATCAATTTTTATTGATTCCTTCCCTAGCAGATCAATATTTAGGTCACCTAGTAATGCTATTTACATCTTTGTTGAGGTAACATATTCTCTAACTCTTCCAAAAAATTTTAGAAAAACATTTAACACGCCAGATGGCGGACGATAAATTACAGCAATTATGACACTTCCACACATTGTAACCAAAGATTCGAAATCAACGTTTACACAAGTAAATTCAGATAGTACACGATACGTCATTTTACTTTGGAAATACAAGGAAACTCCGCCCCCGCGACGAGAATCGCGACAAATTGCTTCGCACTTGTGACCATGAAATTGAACAATATCTTTTTCGCCAGAATACCATGTCTCAGTGAAAGCTAGGATATCGAAAGTACAGCCAAGCGAGTCCAGATATAGATAGGCATCATCAAATTTATTACGGAAACTACGTGCATTTAGGTGAAACAGTTTAAGCATGTTACAATTCGGGAAGTTTTTCTTTATACAGCTTCGGAAAGACGTCACGTCATAGTAAGCATCCTTCATACCCTGAAGCGCCATAGCTAATTCTACATTCCAAACACGTTTAGACGAGCATAACACCCTTAAATGATTTTGGCGAGATCGCTCTCATTTTTGATGCTGGTAGGTCGGTCACCTGACGTCTTTCTAACAAAAACTTTTCCACTCCTTTGCCATGTAAACTGATAACGCATTTCGGTGGCCTTGGTTCTTGCAAGCCAGAGTACTCTTTTGATTTGAGCGGTCAGGTTTTCCATTAACCAAGCATCAGATTTGTTTTGCTTAAGCAACTTTCGAACCAGCAGTCTCGAGTCATTCTGGATGCAAAACGGATAAGACTGGGGGCACCTTATCTGGTGCCCCCAGTCTTAGGGGGCACCAGATAAGGTGCCCCCTAAGACTGGGGGACACCCTACTTGCACTTTCATAGCAAGTAGGGTGTCTAGTTTTATTATCGTCTGAGCCATTTGTCTCTCGGAAATCTCGTCTCTACGTCAACGACAGAGGTCTACTTCACACTAGTCCTTAGTAGTATTCATTTATTAAATCATTGTTATATTTAACCTATTCTTCCCCTCCCCTCACCACGAACGGGGTCCTCCATCATCTCCGCCTACCCACAAGGGGTTCGCGAAACATTGATGTTTGAAAACCAATACACTAGTCCTAAACAATTTTGGAACGCTGTTAACAATAAAGACAAGTCGTCTATTTCACTTTGTGTTGACGGTGGTGTGGTCCCCAGTGATGCATCTGCGGAGATCCTAAACAATGTATCTGCTGACTCATTTTCAAGGTTTGTTAATCCGCCATCTTGCCTACTATAGGAATATGATTTCGTACCTATGGACCCCATTGTAATTGACTCCACTGGTATTGTCAAACTAATAGAAAATCTAAAACTGTCTTCTTAAGCTGGTCCTGATAATATTAACTCCAAGTTCTTAAACAACTCAATTATGTATTCATATATTATATTTTCTAAACTATTTTCTCAGTCGTTGAACTTGGAGTTTTACCTGACGACTGGAAGGTAGCCAGGGTGATTCCACTGCACAACGGAGGTGATAAGCAGTCCCCTGTTAGCTATCATCTAACCTCGCTTACCGGCATACCCGTGTAAATTACTAGAGCATATAATATATTCCCGAATGGTTAATTTCCTGGACCAAATCCTTTCTTTAACAAGGGTTAGCATGGTTTCCGCAAATTTTACTCCTGTGAGACACAGCTTTTGTCATTTACTAACGATCTTCATTTTGTCCTTGATTCTGCACAATCCCAAGTTGACTGTGTTTTTCTAGATTTTAGCAAGGCTTTTGATGAAGTTTCTCACCAGTTGCTTCAGTTGAAACTTAAAAAATTATGTACTGATCCTAACGTAGTTGCCTGGATAGCCTGTTTTCTAACTAACGGATATCACCTTGTTACTGCTAATGAGAGCACGTCTCCCCTCACTTCCGTCAGATCCGGTGTTCTTTAAAGATCCGTACTAGGCCCTCTACTGTTTCTCATTTACATCAGTGACCTACCTAATTGCATATCATCTTTAATTGATCTTTTCGCTGACGACTGTGTAATATATTCTAAATCTACTAACGACTCTAATATTTTAAAGCTCCAGACAGATATCAGTGCCGTTTACCACTGGTGTGTACTTTGGAATATGGAACTTAGCATTACTAAATGTAAAGTTATGAGGATGCTTACTAATCCTCATGTGCCTTTCTACCATCTCAACAACGTCCTCTTGGCCCCTGTTTCTTATAAATATTTGGGCGTTCACATTACTTGTAACCTCTCCTGTAAACTGCATGTTGAATATGTCATCAATAACGCTAACCACATGCTAGGTTACCTGAAAAGAAACTTTGCTCTCGCACTGTCAGTCTTAATATTAACAGTGTATAAATCTCTCGTTCGCTCCAAATTAGAGTATGCTTCTATCTGGGACCCCAGTCAGTCTAATCTAATTAATGTACTGGAAGAGGTACAAAACCGTTCTGCCCGTTTTATTCTAGTTAACTATCACCGCACTGCAAGCGTAATCTCCATGAAAATCACCTTGCCTCTGGCTAACCTCTCTCTCCGACGTAAAGTTGCTCGTTTATGCCGTACTAAAAGTAACCTCATTTCATCCCACCGTGCTACATTTCGCCTCGCATTGATCATCACCTCAAAGTTAGAATTTGTAAATCTAATACCAACGCATTTTTACAGTCATTCCTCCCTAAAACTTCTTTGGAATGGAATCACCTTCCGACTTCCGTAATATACATTGTTGATTTCCAATTGTTTAAAAATGCTATAACACTCTTTACTGTTCTGAGCCGCCTTGTTATACCTTTTGTTTCTTTTTGTGTGTTATTTTGTCACTCCCACTTCCCTCTTTAACGCCGATTGGCTCTGAGGGTATTTAAATAAATAAATAAACAGTCGAAATAGTATCTTTGAAGTTTCCCTGGCAGCGTACGTTTGCAGCTCATTCTATGAACCGAGGCTATTAGAACATATGACGTGATGCCTGGAATTTATTTCTTATACTAAATCACTGGTATAGTTGAGCATCATGGAGACTCTAGAACTGGTGATAAAAAAAAAACAATAAAAAACAAGCAGTGCCAGAAAGCTGCATTTAAAAAAAATAATAATCTTAATGCACTCGCCCATGTGGGGATGGTAATATTATGAACATAATGCCGTTATACTGCGTCCGCCCCTAAGCTGAGACTAGAAGCTCCGCCTTCAGCGAAAGCTCGCTGGCTTCCGCAGTGCTTTGTTTGCGCGTGCCTGTGCGTTCACACTTGTGTTAGTAAGGGAAGAAAGCTCGCGCTGAAGGCGGAGCTTCTAGTCCCAGCTTAAAACGGAGTATAGTCAGGTACTTATACATTTGAACCATATTATATAGCTCGTGGAAAGATTACCTGTTGCAAACTGTTGCAACTGCGAAATTTCGAGCACTTTTCTAAAAAAAATGTAACCTCTTCGGTCAGTACGTGACTATTCCTATTCATTTATAGGAGCTCTGGAGTGCTGGTCTACGTGCTTTTGGTCGGCCTGTCGCCTTTTCTGGGTGACAGTAATGAGAGCACTTGCGCCAACATCACGACTTCCAGTTACACTTTCCCAGACTCACCCAAGCTATCCGAGTCGGCTCATGATCTCATTTTCAGGCTACTGATCGCTGATCCTCACAAGCGCCCTAGCGCTAGTGCCACATTGGCACATCCTTGGATGAAGGTAAGTTCCTACCTTGAAGTGTACTGAGCTACCGCCGGTGGCTGCTTGCCGTGGTATCATCCCTGACATTCAATCATGTTTTCCGTAGTGTGTCTGCCCTTCTTGTTAACATATTTCTAGTCTCTGACAGGATGAGACAGTAAGGAGCTTCAGTTGTCCCGCCTCTAGCTTCCTACCTTCAATAACGGTGTCTCGAGAGCGTGTACGCGCAGCGAGAGCATGGCGGAAGGTAGCGAGCGCGTGCTGAAGGCGTTCGAAAGAGATGGCCTACCGTTCTCACCTTGTCTCTTTCTTGTGATTCTACATTGTTAGATGCAACGCGTCACAACAACCACCCACGTTACTGGTGACGCGTTCGATTTTTCTGTAACATATTAACTGTTAGAATCTTGAGTGATTAACAGATAAAGTATTTTCGTTGAGTATTTTGGTGAATTTGACACTGGGGAAAGGAGGACAAGAACGGAAACACGACTGACACGGACGAGTTTCAAACCGCAGCTAAAACACTATTTGTATTTTTCATTTGTATTTTATTTCAGACGAGAAATTCTGCGGGGCGGTAAAAGACGCCATGCTTGTCTTCTGACAGGACCCCAGCCCCAGGTTTTTACAGCGCTCAGGAGAGAAGATATACAAAAAAAAAAGGATAAAGAATTATTCTCAAACATATCGCATACATCAGCATTTGATAAAATATCAATTTGATTTAAAAATGAGAACAATTAAAGATCTTAGTACAAACTGTAGGTTACAAAATGTTTAAAATATAGATACTGGGTTATTCTTAAACGTATTGAATGACCTATTATTTTCCACCATTTGAGTTATGGTGGGGTGTGTATTTAGTGTGTCTGGAATGAGATACGAGAGCTGATGGAAGCCATAATTAGTGCGTACTTTGCTTTTTATGTAAAGGCTATGTGGTAAACTGTAATTTCCTGGGATTCTTGGATACAGGCTAAGGAAATGTGATTGGACGTGTCTAGTTTGATGGAAAATATTAATAAAAATTTTTAGGAGCAGAATTTGATCTATAGTTAGTGAGTTTTTTAGCAGCTGAACTAAAGACATTGCGTGATAATATTTTTTTTTTAGGTTCCCAATAAACCGGTCAGCCTTTTGTTGCAGTAAAAATAATTTATTTATATTTTTCCCCATACCTTTATGCAGTACTGTAGCTGCGAATAAACGAGTGAGTAATAGAGTTGCAATTTTAACCACTTCGGTAATAATTCCCTGAGTTTATTTAGTGACCCAATCGTTCTTGATATACAGCATCTTATTTTATCGATGTGGGAAGTCCAATTCAGGGTTTCTTCGAACAGAACACCAAGAAATGTGTGTGGTTACGCCTTTAATATTTGAACCTTCAAAAACAATGTTTGTCATATAGGACAGGCTTATTCTTCGGCCTAAATAGAACACATTTTGTTTTATCGGTGTTAAAAATCAGTTGATTATATTTTCGCCACAGTGATAAGTTAAGCCAATTGTAACAAACTTGTTCGAGTTAAACCAAGTCCCTACTTGAAAAAAAGACGTTCATGTCGTCTGCGTATAAAATAATATCGCGTGATTGAGGTATAGTCACAATATCATTTATATATAGGAGAAATAACAAAGGCCCAAGGTTGGAACCTTGTGGAACACCGCACGTTATTGGAGAGATCCCCGCAAATGGCGCCTACGCCTTAGGTGTTAGGTGCTTGGTGATTAGCGTCACAACCGTGTGGGTTCACCCACCCACGCCTGGCTGTACGTGGCTTAAGCCGTGTCCTGAGAAAAAGGGACCCTTGGTGGTTGAGCTGAGCCCGGGGTATGTTTGCACCCTTCGGGGCCCCTCGGGCAAGGCAATATATCACTTGGGCCCTTGCTTCCGTATACGGGTGTCCTCGCTTGGCCCGACCAGGATGATTCAGTCAGTCGCTTTGCTCCACCTCTCACTTTTTTCTACTTTCTTCTCCTCTCCTTCCTTATCTCACCTTCTTTGGCGGCAAGGGATAACCTTGGGTGGTGACAAATACCCTCGTTCAAATCCACACTTGGTTATAGTCTCCCGGCAGCACTGTAAGAGTAACGCCTCCTGCAAAGCCCTTTTGTTATGGTGCGGTACCTAACCCCTTGTTTGGCTCCGTGGTGGGCGACGCACCGCAAACCCTGTAGCGCCCCACCCTTCCAAACCCCGTAGCGCTATCTTCAACACAAAACCATTAAAAACGATTTGAAGAAACCTTCACGAAGTTTTTGTCGTTCATGCGCTTGGTGAACAGAAATCATTTGCAAACGTCTCACACTTCGTCGTAGCTAAAGTTTTCGAGCACCTTCTAGGGTTCTCCTACAAGGCTAAGAAACTGCACTGTAGAGACCTTTTTGTGGAGGTAGAAAAAAAATGCGAAGCGCTATTTAACAGAAGCTGAGGGCGCAAACGAGCTGGTGGAGGTTAAACATTTGACTTAAAACCCCGATACTGAGACGAGAAGGGACGGACAAACGCAAATTCTCAATTTAAGATGACCAACATTGTTGACTTGAAAGTGTCGGTGAGCCCCCACCGTAAACTTTACACCATTCGTGGAGTCCTCTCTGAGGACGACTTTCTTTACAGCAGTGAGGATGAACTTATTGAGGGCCTCAAGGGCTCTGGCGTCGTCACCGTCAAACGCATAATGTTTAAAAAAAATTGTGAAAAAATTTGCTCCAAGCAAGTTATTCGGACTTTCGAGAGGCATACACTTCAGAGACATTCAAGGCAGGGTATTTTAAGGAGTCACTTGCTCTCTACTTGCACTCTCCACGCCACTGGAAGCTGTTGCAGCGCGTCTCCGAGTGGACCAGCTTGTAACAGTTATTTCTTTATACTTACCACCCAATGTTGCTTTGAATCTTCAAGAGCTGCAGGGGTCGTAGGACAGCTTCATCAGCCGTTTTTAATTTTGGGCGACTTTAACGCTCATCATCTCATGGAGAGTAGTACCCGTCACGACTCCCGTAGTGGTGTGATTGAACGTCTTTTATTCTCTTCTGGGCTGTGCCTTCTTAACGGGAGAGAGCCAACTTTTTTTAGTGCGGCACACAACTCATTCACATTCATTGACCTTTCTATTGCTTCACCTTCATTACTTCCTTGCTCTTCCTGGAAGGTTCTTCATAACCCCTTTGGAAGTGATCATTATCCAGTTGTTTTAAAGAGTGCCGTTCAATTGCCTCGGCGCTTTTTAATCTATACCCCAAAACTTTTTTTTTTTTTTTTGTAAACCTTGGTTAAAAGAGGGGTGTGCCACAACCCGGGCGGATCAAAATAGGGCGTGGGAAAGATTTTGTAGATACCCCACTTCACGAAACCCTGTTGAGTTCAAGCGACGAAAAGCCAAGGCTTGTTGGACTAGAAAGCAGGCAAAGTGGAAATCATGGATAATGTATCTCTCTTCTTTAACTAGTTTTGTCCCTGCCTAAAAGGCCTTAGACAGATAGAGGAAAGTAAATAGGGACTATAGGTGCTTTCATATCCCAACGTTTAATGCTCCTTGTTTTTCATTAAAGTAGACAGAAAACACCTTCGGGGAACATTTTCATAATTCATTTAGCTCGGACAACTACAGTGCTAACTTCGCACAGCTTAAGGCTCGCGCGGAGCAACAAAAGTTATCCGTGTCTGGAGGAAATACGAGGAGTGATCAAAAAGTTATGGGACTGATTTTGTAGCGTAAAAAGAGAGGACAGCACAGTGATGCGCGCGCAGCAGTCGAAGAAAAGGGCCTTCATGTCTCGTTTTACCAAAGGGCGTTGCTCTGTAAAGATTTGAAACTGCGCTACACGAGTTTATGTAACAACATGCACAAGCATAATGGCGATCTCTTCCTAGACTGCAAATTAAAGCTAGAGCGAACATTAATTTTACGGCAAGCTCAGCAAATCTAAAACAGGGATTTCTGAAATTATTTAGAAGGCTGATGTGAAAACGCAGTGAGGTGTGGGAGGTGTTTTGAGTGGCACTTGTACCTCAAGAATGGCAGAACGTCACTGAAGTGAAAGAGAGTTCGGATAAGGTCGCCTTACCGCTCTTCGTCTTCTAGCGATGTTCTGTCGTTCCTTAAGCGCGAGTGCCACATAAAACATTTAGCAAACTCCACTGCTTTTTGACAAAAGCCTAACGAATCATTTTAAAGGTGTTTGTTTTATATTTGACGAGTTCGACGCAGAATTGATGTTCGCTCCCGCTCTGGTTTGCAGTCTACGGTGAAATCGCCATTGTGCCCGTGCACGTGGTCACAAAAACTCGTATAGCGCAGCTCAGAATATTCACAGAGCGACGCCCTTTGGTATAACAAAGGGCGTCGCCTTCCTTCGATTGCTGCGCGAGCATTACTGTGCTGCCCTCTCTTTTTACGGTACAAAATCAATCCCGGAATGTTTTTATGACACCTCGAACAGCCCCTTATAACCAGCCATTTACGCGATGCAAGCTTGAGATGGCCCTTAATGTAACAAAGCTCTCTGTCCCTGGGCCCGATGGAATTCACTATGAAATGCATCGCCACCTTCCTCCGAAATCCCTTGAAAGCCTCCTCCTGTTTTCAATTTTTTTTTTTTTTTGTGGTAAAAGGCATGTTTCCCTCATACTTCGAAACATGAACACATCATCCCCGTTCTAAAACTTAAGAAAGACCCCCCAAAACCATCCAGCTACCGCCCAACTGCCCTGACGAGTTGCCTTATAAGCCTTTCGAAACGTTTGAAAGGCTTATAAACAGGCGACTGGTAAATGTATCAGAACGCCAGAGGGTCTTTTATAACAACCAGTGGGGATTCCGCCAAGGTCGATCTACCCTCGATCACTTAGTTCGCCTGGAAACTGTGATACGCGAGGCATTTGCAAACAGGAATCACTTTTTTTTTTCTTTCTATTTAGAAAATGCATGCATACAACAGCATGGGGGTATGCGATTCTCCGAAACCTGTATGCCTGTAATATCCCTGGCCGTATGCTACGATATATGAAGAAATATCTGCCGGACATGACTTTTCACGTTCGTCTCGGCTCAGTCCTATCTGATTCCTTTGTTCAAGAAAACGGAGTCCCTCGAGGGGGTGTTCTAAGTGTGACTTTATTTTTGCTAACGATGAATTCACTCGCACGACTGCTGCGACCTTCTATTTCATATTCCCTTTATCCTGATAATATACATATTTCATCATCCTCTTGTAGCCTTTCCAGTTGTGAGGGCCAGTTGCTGTTAGCCATAAACAAACTTTCCAAGTGGGCCGACGAAAATGGGTTCAAGCACTTTGCTTCAAAAGAGGTCTGTGCGCCTTTTTCTTTGCTCCATGGGCTGTCTTTGGATCAATCCCAGAAATTAATTTGAACCTCTAACCCTGTTAGAAAGAAGCACAGATTTCTTCGTGTAATATTTGGTTTAAAAAAAAAAAAAAAAAAAAAACTTAATTTAATTTTTACTTTAAAGCGCGGAAGCAAAAATGTCTTCAGTCCACAAAACCTTTGAAAGGTTTATCTCACAAGTCGTGGGGGTCTGATAGAAAATGTATCCTGCAGCTATGCAATGCTCTTGTACGATACCGTCTTGACTACGGTGCGGTACTGTAAGGATCGGCTCGGTCCTTTTCCGATGTTGGATCCAGTTCACCACCTTGTCCAGCGAATGGCAACAGAAGCTTTCCAATAAACAATTAACACTGGGACAACAAAACCACATATGTTTCAATTAGCAACATACGATAAAAAAATTCCCACAGCGAGCCGACCCAGGAGGGAAAAGTGGGAGAAGGGGAGAGAAGGGGCGATAAAAAACGCGAAGAGCAAGTCAGAGAGGTGGGTTTATCTCGGATTTTAGAAATTCAACCTCAGTTTTCGTCATCAGAAGGGAAGGGTTTGGCACGTTGCTTTTTGTTGTGGTCAAACCTCCTGCTGACGAAAACTGAGGTTGAAGTTCTAAAATCCGAGATAAACCCACCTCTCTGACTGGCTCTTCGCATTTTTTATCTCCCCTCTCCCCTTCTCCCCCCTTTCTCTCCTGGGATTAGTCGGCTGCTCGCTGTGGGAATTTTTAATCGTCTGTTGCTAGTTGAAAGATATGGTTGTGTTGTCCCAGAGTTCATTGTTTTTTCTTTCTTCATCCATCACTTGAACCAACACGCTGTTCTCCCAAGCATAAGCAGCTTTCCGGACGTCCCCTGTCCTCAGTTGGTATGCAGAATCCAATGAGATGTCACAGAACAAACGACGTACATACATGTCTTAGTCTAACATATGGTTACAAGATTCTGGTCAACCCTCAGCATCCGACTTACTCTTCACTTGCGAGGGCAAGATTTTTTTCGCCTCTATGAAAATTAACCAAGCATTGTTCCGCATTCAATATCTTCGCACTTCGCTGCACCTTTCTCTGGACCAGGTCGGCCTCGTTCCGAAAGTCGACGGTATTACACCATGAAGAAACAGCGAATTTATTCCGACTGGTCTCTCACAAAGTTCAACTAACACGGCATTTCCCATGCTGTAATTAGTCAAAAGTTTGGTGAGCTGCAAATTAAGTATGATGGTTATATCTTGTTTATACAGATGGCGCCAAGACTTCCTCTTTTGTCGGTGGCGCTCTGTGTTCTGAATGCTTCTCCAAGGGTCAACGACTTGATTATATTTACAACAATTTTACTGTGGAGCTCTATCAATGGCGATTAAATTCATTATTAATAATAGGAAAATACTAAGGGCGGTTCTGTTTGTTGACTCTCAAAGTGTGAATCTTGCTGTTTGCTAACTTAAAGATACTTAAAATATGTTTCCGCAAACAAATTTGATATAAACTTAACTCTGCTTTGCATGGTGGTCAAAATACATAATTTTGTTGGGTCCCCAGTCACGTCGGCATGCTAGGCAACGAGGAAGCCGACAATCTTGCAGGGTCTGCAGGTAATCTTCCCTAATCGCTGTCCTGTTTGCCCTATCAAGATATAAAGTCTTTAGTGAAGACCTCGATTCTTCTATGTTGGCAGTTGGAATGTGACAATGAGTGCGAAAACAAGCTCCATATTACCAAACCTGCTTTGGGAGTTTGGGAAAGTTCTTCATGCAAGAGCCGACTTCATGAAACGTTGCTGTGCCGTCTGAGAATTGGACACTCTTTTATAACTCATAGGTATATGTTTTAAGGGGAAGCTAGACCAGTCTATGATCAGTGTGGCGACAGGCTCACTGTTTTGCACATCTTGTGGTTGTGTCCCGGCCGTAAGCCCAAGCGCCGCATTCATTTTTCTGAATTTTTCCAACACCTTATCCCATTTCATCCTTCTCTCTTTAAGGGAGAGAATCCTCTAGTCTCTTTTGAACGAGTAATAGACTTTCTTGGTGCTTCCAACAGTGCAATGATTCCCTTCCAACAGTACAATGATTCTTTCAGTTCGTTTGGCGCAGATGGCCTCGTAGCTTTTTCGTCATAAACCCCCAAAATTATAATCATCACAGACAAATATATATATGCCACCAGCCACCGACGGTTTTGCTTCCTCCCACACCCTCCATGTTCCTTTTCCCCGTCTTTCCTGAAACCCCATACGATCCAAGTTGATTTAAAGACTGTAAATACCACCGCCTCTTCAACAAGAGATGAGACAAACGCACGCGTAGACATGTCAACGCTCAGAAAGCGAAAAGCAAACCGGCTCCGTTTGACCTCGGGAATCTGCCTGCTGAGTTATACGGACGGGGGGTATTATGTGGGTGGCTCATCTTTGCGAAAAGTCGGATAATTAAACTTCCTGAATTAACGTTTTAATTAGTGAAAATAAGAATATGGTTCCAATTAGAAACTTAGAGAGCGTCATCGAAAACCATTAAATCAACTCTTTTTAGAGCGACTTGAAGCTCCTGGGAAACTCGGCGGTGCGCCAAAGTTACCACTCGTGAAGCAGGCGCAAAGCCAGAAGTGGCGGAACGCGGATGATTAGATTGTTATTTGAACGTAGTTACTTAGTGAACTTTTTTTTTTCATTGAAATTTGCTTTATTTTAAAAGTTATAGGCATATTAAAATGACAAAAACAAGCAAAAAATAACCTCCTTTATGACGTCCTTGGTCCTCTGTCCCCCCTCTTCCCGCGTCCGCGGACCGCGGTGAGTGAGGAATGTGGGGAGGGAGGGGAAGACGACGAAAGAAGGTGAGGCTGAGGAGAGAGAGCTGGACCGGAAACGGGGCCGCTCTCTCTCCTCGGCTGACCAGGATCATCAACGTCACGATTCCGTTACATGCTGCGCGCGTTTAACACCACGGGGCGCCCCCGTAGGAGGAGGAGGTTTCCGCGTCGTCCGGTTAAAAATATGACGCACTGATATTTAGTTACTCCCTCCGTGCCCGCTGGGTAGCCCGAACCACAAGAGACGTGGAAACCGCAAAAAAGTTAGACTCTTAAATAGGATTTAGCTGCGTTTTGAGACTTGTCTGTGTCAGTTGTCTTTCCCTCGTCCTTTTTCTCAGTCTCGGGCTTACCAGAATGCTCAATATTCACCAGCTAGCCTACACCCCAACCCTGTTACGCATTACTTTTTACTCAAATTAGTCGCGTTTTCGCTTGAAAACAAATAAATGCATGTGCAGTCCTCCGCAGTAAAAGCAAAAAACATATATCACAAACCGGGGATAATTTTAAATTCTTTCAGCGAGCAAGTTTTAACCTCCCGGCCCAGAACAGTTTGAGGTGTGGCAGAAGGGAGCAATGAAGTAGAGCGTGGGAACGACCCGCCCCAACCGACAACCACGCTCGACGAGACCGCAAAGCGTCAGATACGCGCGTCTTGGCATCTGTATCGCTCGTTGTGATAGGCTGCAAGACGCACTCACGGCGACGCGGACGCAAGCATGGCTGTGATACCCGGATCCACCAGTAACGACGTTGGGGAGAGTTCCCTGATGATGATGATGGCGCTGAAGAAAGCAGATAACGTCGGTCATTATGTGCCTGTGCGGCGTCGTGTCACCGTTTCGCTTACTCTCGTCCCCGGCCACCTGGCCTGGAAATACAACATTTCAACCTACAAAAAGTTAAAAATATATCATAATAATAATAATATAATAATAATAATAAAGGGGAGACAGAACGAGAATGGGTGACGGTTATGCTTATATCCTGCATCTATTCGCGTGGCGACGGCCAATAATGTATTCGCCAATACTGGAAGTGACGACAATTCAAGATGGCAGCGCCCTTGTGATTTCCACTTTAGCAGAGCGAACGCTGGAGAGCAGGTCGCCTCTTCTTCAGCGCCCGCTCTGCTAAAATGGAAGGAGGTATTGTAGGGTGTCTTCTGATGTGTGATGCGGCGAACCTGCACACCACATCTGGCACTTCAGTATTTGCACGTTTTCTTTGACATCTCTTTTTATATGTACAGCTCAAATTCAAGATTTATAAAAAAGTATCATCAAATCACACTACAAGTTACACTACTGGAAGCGCTAAGCGAACATCGTTATATCCGATATTTCATTATTGTCAAATTCGTTAAAACTTACACGAGAGCTCGACTACTTGCTTGTGTTGCCTAATGTCGCTGTGCCACCGTCTAATGGTGGCAGCAGCTGTGCAATAGTGGCGCAATGGGACAGAAAACATTTTAAAATATGAAGCAAGCGAGAAACTATCTCAACTTTAGAGGCCCTTAATATGCTTGTTTTTTAATTAATATATATCTATATATCTTAAGTAATTGACTATGTACACTGTACTGCATTTCCTTTTTCGTGAACAGGAAGCATCAGTGGAACCCTTAATCAGCAGCTCTTTCCTGATGGCATTTGTAAATAGGAGGGACAAAATGGTACGTATATAAACGAAACTATGATTTTCCAATTAAATAATGTAGAAATAAAAAAGACTGAAAATATCCCCTAGATACCTTGTTGAAAGAAAATAAATACGCATCTAAGAGATGCTTTGTAATAATTTGTTGACTGCTCAAAGCATATTGATTTCTGAGAGTGGGTCATAACCAGATAATTTTTAGAACTAATGGATATCAAGGAATTCTTATATCTTCCTTTTAACGTGTGGTATTGTGTCAAACGTGGCAATTATCAAAAGTAACAGGTCTGAGTCCGACCACCATTCTTCAGGTCTCGTGGTTAAGGGAAAACCATACCTGTTGAGTTATAGAAGGGCTCTAAGATTCACGCGAACGGTGTCCCTGGCTGCTTTTGATGCAAAGTGCGTCCGAGGTGCATCGAATCGATACTTGAAGACTATCATTGTGTAGAAGTGAAGTAGAGAAAGCGTGATTGGATGCGCGTGATCGGTCCCCTGCAATTGATTCGATTCGTTTCGGTCGCAATTATGTAAAGCAGCCCTTGTGACAAAGCTACGAGTAACGAGCACCTACCCACCTTTTCGTAATTTAGAAACCAACACGCTCAACTATCCATTCTATAACGAGTGCGTGCATGTGCGTACAATCATAGGCAAAAGAAATGCCAACAACAGAGCGCCGACCGAGAGCAACAAGAGACCGATTCACCTTTTATTCATCGCGACAAGTCTCATCTCTGATTCACCACCAGCGACGCTACCTTTATGCTGTGCTCTTGAGGGGCCGACTGCGAGAATGATGCCGGCTTTCATAGAAATTCATGGCACCGCGGCGACTGATGGTGCAGCCGCAAGAGTTGCGTTTTTATATCGCCAAATTCCGCTGAGTCACTCGACTGAAACTATTAAAATTCTGCTTAGAAGGGGCGTCGTTCTCCAATAATTTGTTGAAACTGTAGCTTGTGCGCTATTTGCAACGATTATGTCGCGATAAAAGACGACCTTCGGTGAATGAAACAGAACACACACAGTGAAATCAGACTCCGCTGCAGATTACAATGCTCAAGTTTGCGTTCTCTTGTTTTCACGCGATCACTCCTTTGAATATAAACAACAGAAATTAAAGGGTGCGTCAACCGTCAAAACAGCGAGTGTCGCGCCACGCGTGAAGATGATAGGGCGATGGGGAAGCACCGATAATTAACCCCGTAAGTGATGACGTCAAAACAAGGCGCTCCGCTCAAAATAAACCGTTGCTATAGGGCCGTTGTTATGGACATGCATAGGAGCTTGACTGAGGTTAGAAATTGTCTGATAAAAAAGTAAATCATTTCTGGTAAACATTGTGACTTCTCAATATCTAATCATGAAGACTTTTTTTCTTTCATTTCACTACCATAAAGCGATGACAAAAGCCTGTAATAAAGTTTCACAACCGGGTTTGACTTTCTAGCAGTCGACACGATGGCTTCGCCAGTTCACTGGTTCTTTTTAAGGGAGTAAACGACCGCGCTGAATGATGTTGGTGACGATCGTCGATTTTTTCGGGGTCGACTTTCTGTGGGGTTTCGGAAGCGAAGAGTGCCCGTGCACAGCTTTTATCGACGCTCGAGGTGGGCGAGCGCGCGAACGCCTTGCCGCGGAGCTCGGTTCAGCAATATTTGAGAATGTAAAAACACTGGGAAGCCGAATAAAGTACGACGACGACGGCCTGAAGTGTATCAAGGTCGAAATGCAGGTCAGCACACGTTTCAATGATTTCTGACAGCACTGTTGCTGCAGTGCACATCTGTGTGTCTGTGTGATCAAACGAACTGTCTGTAACAGCTATATATATAGGGTGGAGTAAGGTAAGTATAAAAAACAGTGGACCGGGAAAAGTTAATAAGTCAAAGATGCGTACTGTCCGAGTTACTAATTCGAAGTTTATTACAACGTTTCGAGCGGGGACCGCTCTTCATCAGCTCAAAACGTCGTAATAAACTTCGAATTAGTAACTCCGACAGTACGCATCTTTGACTCTCTCTCTCTCTCTCTCTCTCTCTCTCTCTATATATATATATATATATATATATATATATATATATATTATATATCATTTTTTTTCTCGCAGATGGAAACGGATCGACAAGCGTAAGACAGAAAATAAAGATTTATTCGACTAACTTGTGCCTAGAAACGAAAGAAAGGATGAGCGTCGACAGCGGCAGCAGCGAGCGGCGATGCGTCGGCGTGACCGCTGGCTGCGAGTTGACAAAGACGCGCTCGGCTTTTTATCTAGCTAAACTCGGCATCTCGAGCATTCGACCTAGAATGTTAATTTGTGAGCTAGGGGGAGACTGACTAGGCAAGGTCGTTCTGGCCTTTTAATCTCTAACACTCGGGGTAAGAATAAACTCGAATCTTCTAGGGGCACGGAGCTGCGTTGCTTCTCAGTCATGCACGCTTGGGGTCTTACTTAAAACTGAAGAATCAGTAGGATTTTTTCTCAGTTTGATGATTACAAGGCAGGTACGAAACGCACACCCAGATTGGGAGCTTGAAAAGCAAAGTTCGGGGTCTCGAACCGTGCATGTTAGAGTCAAAATTATTGTTCTTTCATTACAATACACGTTAACTGAAAAATCAGAAAGAGAGCCCGACGCTGCTTTGATACCATGTTCTAAACGGATGCTTTTCTCGCTGTATTTTTAGCAGATCTCTATACGTCTGTTTATTTTCGTCAGTCAGTATCCCGTATCGCACGCAAATGCAATTCGTTTCAATGAACCTGATTAGTTTTCTTAGGCCTGCCATGTTCCAAATAAATACGAAATAAAAATCGTATCATTGTGCTAACGATTCAAAATGTTGCAGACGGCATACTTCAGTCATTCCGTGTGCGTTCGTCAAGCGTTCGTCGTTTGCAACAGGCATCTCGAGGTGTCTCGAGGACCCGAAGTTGCCGTCGCAAATATTTCAGAAACAGCCGATTCTCTGCAAACTTCTGTCGCTGTGAGTGTGAAATCTAGGCTTCCTGTATCTATTATTTTTAGACGTTTGAATTCTATGTCCGGTTTTTGACCGATCGTTCTTTCGGAACGGAATCCAGTCCCATGTATTCGTCCTTTACGACGCCCCTAGCAACGGTTTGTTTGGAGCGGCGACGTCACACTTCCGGGGTCAATAATCTCGCCAAGGAAGTACCAAGTTCCGTCAGAAGGTTCTGCAGGCTCTGGAAGGCGCGCTCCGCTGTCCGTATTTCTTTTGACCATGACTGTACAAAGAAGTATAAAGGCAAACTACTACCGTTTTCCAGCTTCTAAAATGTGAATTCACAATTACCGTTGGCATTTGAGTTTTTAGTAAGTTCACAGGAATCTATTACCTCAATATTTTGTTTAATAATCGAGGTGTTTTGGGTATGTGGCATCAACTATGGATAAAACACGGAAGAAATTATAGAAATCACGTAAATTTTGTGCTATCCCATTGAATCTATATTTTGGTTGTATAGACTCAAAGTCTGTGATAGTTGAGCCAATCATGCGTGTGCTTATGCAGCCTATACAGTCTGGAGAGAAGAATATGTGGCCATTTCTATGTTGAAAGAAAATCGACAGTGAGATTCAACGCATACAGATGTTTTGTTTATTTACAGGTGGCAAACGCAAAGCTGATCCAGTCCTGACATTGTGACTTGCGTGGTTAAATCATCTACAACTGTACATAAGATATAGACATGATCATATATAGGATAGAATACCTCAATAAAAGCTCCTAACTGGATTTTTTTTTTTAAATCACATCATGTATAATAAACATTGCACTGTGAATAGAAGACATGTCCCATATATTTGTATTTATCATCTGCCAGATACGACTCTCTCGAAGAGCGTGTGTTCTGATGAGACGGGAAAGCGCTGCTAGGAATATCGCACGAGCAAAATATCGCGTCCGTTGAAGGGATCGTTGGCACTTCAAAGCGACCGATAAATCGGTTTCTAAACGTATTGGTTTATGATTGTGTACAGAGGTGGACGAATATTATGCATTTTATGTATCAAAATTTCGAAGAATAAGCTTATCTGAGTGAAGAGTAACAATTCGCTACCTCGTTCCGTTGCTAACGAAAGGCGTCTGAATGGCGCAACTTAATAGTTGAATAGACCATTTGCGATATCCCCCAAGTGCCCCTGCCCGCGCTAAAAGAATCATGGGAACGGTGTTCCTTCAGCCCCTTAGTGATCAGTAATTTCAACGGTACTCTTGGTTACACAGGTATTGAGCGTAATTCGGAGTCACCCTGAACAAGCGCCATGATATACCCCAATGACCCGTCATATCGCTTTTAAAATTTCTCCTCAATGTCGGCGTTTTTTATAGTGTTCATGCTGTTCACCCTTCAACCTGGATGGGCTGCAGAAATCTCTTACATTATTATCATGCTTATATTAAGTTAGAAACGCTAAGCCCCGCGGGCTCCGAGCTAAATCCTGTTTTTTGTGGTTGTGAATTATCGGCTTTTTAAGCAATTCCTGCTCATGCAACAATCACGAGAATGATAATATTGTAAGAGATTTCTGCAGCTCAGTCAGGTTGCAAGGTGGACCGCATACGCAGTATCAGAAATGGTGACGTTGAAGAGCAAATTTAAAAGTAATATGACAGATCCTTGGGGTATATCAGGTGCTTGTTCAGGGTGACCTCGAATTACGCTCAAACACTGTGTAACGATGGAGTTGGTCGAAAATTAGCGATCAATCGGGAGCTGAAGGAACACCGTTCCCATGATTCCTTGAGTGCGGGCCGGGGCGCTTGGGAATACTGCAAATGGTGGGGTCCCCTGGTTTATCGGCCGCATTTTCAATATGAGCTGCGAGGAGACGAAAGCGTTCATTAAAAACTCTTCTCCACCCACTTTCCTCTCCGCCACGGAACAACTCAACACATGTGCACGACCAATTGCTTCCTCTCTATTGGGGAGGAGATCGAACAGTCACGCCTCTAGCGGCGCGCTTCAGCTGTGGGGGCAACAAACCGAATTTTCTTGTTTGTTTTTGATCAGCGATATCGAAGATGACGATTTGAAGGCCAGCATTGGTCAGAGCGAAGCGCTCGTGTCCAGGCCGTGCATGACGAGGTTCAATTTCTTTTGTTATGCTGTGTTAGTAAACACCGGGCTGTGGGGACAACAACCTCGATAAAGCGCCCCCTATAGTTCGATCTCCTGCCCAATAGGCAACAGCTGTTGGCGGCAGCTGTTCACATATATGATATAGCCGACGTTACAAATTTACCTCAATTGTGGAAGTCCCGCGGATACCCCCCCCCCCCCCCCCCCCATCCCTTACTCACTCTAGTCCACCTCCCATAAAGCCCCTTCATACGAAAAAGTAGCGTCATTCTTTGAAGAATGCCGCCTCCAGGCGGCACTGCAGTCGATTCGCGAGTGTAAAAAAGCGAAACATGAAGATAAAAGGTGTGCGCATCAGAAGAGGAGGGAGAAGGAATGCCTATGCTGGGTCGGAGTGCAGTGCATGCTATGAGCTCATGCCACCAATCAAATAACGCCAACTGTGCAACGTCACGGCTTTCATCGTCTTTCTTTGAGCCCATCCTTCGAGGCTGGTAGACCGTGACAGTGCCCTTTTAGCCTGTGTGTATGTATTTACGCGGCGTGTCTTTCAGCCTGCTATCTTGGCCCGATCCAGGCGGCACTACAGTCGATGCGCGGGTGTAAAAAAGAAAAACATAAAGATAAACGAAAAAATAGTCAGAGTGCAGGCGAGCTGGGGTGCTAAACTCGTCGAACACAAAGTTTGGGCCGAAGTTCACGGAACGCACCGATTGGACGATCCCGACGATGACTTGGCGCTTTTTTCGGCGGCGTCCAATCGGTGCGCTCCGCTAACTTTGGGCTCCAACTTTGTGTTCGACGAGTTTAGGGCCCCTGGTGTAAGTTGAAAATGATTGTAAACCTGAGACTGGAGCAGAAAGGAGAAAACAGAAGGTAGTAAAAGAGGAGGCACCGTTGCCTCCTCTTTTACTACCTTCTGTTGTGTTCTCCTTTCTGCCCCAGTCTCAGGTTTACAATAATGTTCATAAAGATAAAGGTGTGCGCGTCAGATGGGAGGAGGGAGAAGATGGCGCTACCTTTCTTATTCAGGGGCGTTAGGCTCCCGTCGTTTGAAGCGCCATCTAGATATTCGTTTCGAAACTGAGTCTTCCATAGAATACGATGGAGCGCCATCTAGACGCTGTGCTTCGAAGCGTACTTATTCTATAGAATACACTGCAGCTGGGTAGCGCCATTTTGAGAGCGAGAGAGAAGTGAAGGGGCTACCGGCGCGTTCCCTCTTGCTGGTGCGTTAGAAAGAGTGAAAATCCCGGATGAGAAGCTTTGCCTGTGTTGGGTGTATGCACTGCCCGAACTTCACAAGCTTCACCGTTTTAAACTCCCAAACTTGATTAGCCACAGGCTTGGATGGCGACAGTTCATCGGGACACCATTGCTCGGTTAAATATGGTGCACGATAACGACAAAAAGCATCGAATACTGTCCCAGGACCTATGTAGCTTGCACGGAATCCGGCAAGTGCGGCTGCAATGTCTTTAAGCTCCATCGCTTTCTACCAGTCTTGGGTAAGTTACTTATAAAATGTAGGGATGCCGCGAACTTTTTTCGAACCGAAAGGTCGATGATCGAATCAAGCGGTTCGAAAGGTTCGAAAGATCTCGATTTTCGACCTTTCCATATCGAGAAATTCGACAGAAGTCAAATTTTCGAACTTGTTAAACTAAGAAGTTCGACGCTTTCCGAAATTTCGAACTTATTAAGCTGCAAAATTCGATGCTTGTCGAACTTTCGACCTTGATAGACTAAAAAATGCGATGATTTTCGAACTTTTGATTTTTTGCACTAAAAAGTTCGAAGCTTTTCGAACTTTCGAACTTCCTACGCTAAGAAATCGATAATTTTCGAACTTTCGAACTTATTAATCTAAAGAATTCGAAAATTGTCAAACTTCCGATTCCTGAAAAGTCAAAAGTTGGACGAACTTCGAACTTTTAGGGTAAAAGTTCGAAGTTCGTTGAACTTCGAAAGACGGGCGGGCGGTTTCATTTGGATTCAGGCAGTGAGGCACATTCGTAATATATTTTTTTTCTCGCATTTTTACATGTGGCGCCGCATTACTTGCGAAAGACAATGCCGTTTATTTCAATCGTATGGCATTCTTGGTTTTAAAGAAATAGATTCCCAGGAGCGAGGAAGGACGACGGGTTTTTGACAATTGTCGATATTTGAAGCGCGCTATAGCCGAAGATATATATATATATATATATATATATATATATATATATATATATACCAGTTTGTCGAACCGAAAATAATACGGGCTCGGTTACGGTTCAGGTTCAGGTAATTATAAATGACAAATTGCAACGTCAAAATAAATTACAAATAAAACATCTGAAATCAGCACATACGAAACGGGGTACATCGTAGTGTAAGGCTCAGGGATTTTTACCAGGAATGGTTTCTTTACGTGCACTCAAAGGTTACCTCACCGACGTTTACGCATTCGGACTTCATCTAATTGGGTCCGACGCAGTAGCTGTAAAATCCGCGACCTCCTTACAAACCCACTTACAAGTAGAACTCGCTAACTATCCCGCCACTTCGGCGTGTAAGAAATTGAAGGAACAGTGGGGAGAAAATACAGCTTTCTTTTTTTGAACTGGCCTTCGGTAACTCAAATTAGACCCTTAAAGAAGTTTTCATTAAACCAGATACAAAATATGAAAAACACTTCACCGAACGCAACGCCAGAAGGACGTAATAGGATAAATATTAAAATAGAAGAGTTCGCTGTCTCACAAATATGTTAGCTTCTAAGTGCCTATACGAAACCGGATGCATTATTATCAAACTCCACAGGCTTTTCTTTTCTCATTCCGATGGAAGCAAGCTTCAAGAACTCGCGCGTTCTAGAAACGTGTTATGAAATGACCACACCGCAGCATTTAGGATTTACGAGATTGTAGAAAAATAAAATCCCGTGACGCGATTTTTTTTTTTTTTTGCACAGCCTTTTAATTCTTTTTCTTCCATGCAAGCCGCGACCAGCGCAATACTGGTTTCTATGTCGAGATTCATGGATGCAGCGTTTATCAAGATTCATGGATGCAGCGTTTATATTCCTAAGACTGAGTGGAGAAGAAAAATATGTAAGCGAGGTGTGTGTCCGTTGACGGCACTTAAAAAACAAATGGCATTGATAGCACATTCATTGTCAACAGCGCGTGGCCGAACCGTTTTGGTTGGTTGGTTGGTTGGTTGGTTGGGGTTTTATGGCGCAAAAGCATCTTAGGCTATGATGCGCCATGTACATACACTATTGCAGATAGGGTTTCGAAGAGGATAGAACTTTAGTAGTTGATGATAGGTTAAAACTATGTGTATGACTTATAAGTAGTTATGGGCATGAAGTTGGGTGTAAAATCATAGTCGGTGTAAAAGGCCGATAGCTTTCAAGAAGCTAAAAACGCTGTGATGCGGAACTAATGGTTCGTTGCCAAGCAAAATAGGAAGGTTTAAAGGCGTATGTTCTTTATATAGCTGAGAAAAATGTTTCCGTCGGTCTAGGTCATAAGCAGGGCATTCTAATAATATGTGTGCGACAGTTAAAGGATTATTGCAGTGCTCGCACTCTGGGGCTTCCTCCCTGCGCAGAAGGTGGCCATGGGTGAGGTGCGTATGCCCTATCCTTAGCCGACACAGGACAACCTCATAAAAGCGTTCACGGTGTCTTGCACTCTCCCACTCACTAAGGAGTG